GTTAAGTGAATCGCTGTGGTCGTTAAGTTAGCAGCACGGTTAAGTGTATCTGGCTTCCCCACTGACTTTGCTCGTCAGAGGAGGGGATCTCGGGATCCCGGGACACTACGACCATCCTAAGTACAAGTCGGTTGCCGACCATCTGAATTTTGATTACATGACCCTGGGGAGAGGCTGCAAAGGTCACGTATGTGAAAAATGGTCTTAAGTCACATTTTTCAGTGCCGCTGCATTACTATTTCCTATATTATTATTATTATTAACACGCTCTAATGCTAAGCAGTTCTACTCCCGCTTCCTACCTTAAAAGAAATCTGTTCCAAATGCAAAACACAAGCAGGAGTTTTACTTTCAGAGCACCAAGCAGCTTTAGTACAGAACAGTTGAGCTAAGTCACACCCAGGCTCCTTGCTGTCTCCTTCTTGTTCACATAGTGAATACTGTTTCAGTTTCCAAACAGCCCTCAACTCTCTCACACACTGACACGACGCTAGCCAGATGAATAACGATGGATGCTGGTAGGCAGAGGCAGAATTTTTCCCACTTATTTTCCTCCCCAAAACTAAAACTAAGCCCGACCACATAGTTTTGTAGTGAAGCACGGGTATCAGAGCTAGTCATGCAATATTTTAGAGTCTGTATTCAAGGCTTTTAACCAGCCACTCATTATCCCTCTTCTTATTTAAAAAAACAAAACAAAAACTCCTGTAAATGAAGTTAAATGTTGAATTTACCACGAAACTTTTCTCAGGACGACAAATCGTTACAAATTGATTTCAAAGCCTCAATGGCCTTTTAAAACGATTAAAAGAAAAATCATTCAGACAAACAACGAAGGCTTGTTATCTTCACTTTAGGAAAAGAAAGCAAGCCAATTCATCGTAAAATCAATGTTTCCCTTCCTGAATTGCTGAACTGCAGAAGACACAAGTGAGATTTTCCAAGTTTCATTCTACCCATTAAAAAGAAAAAAAATCCACATTCTCTCACCCTTTGTATAAAATTGGTAGCTGTATATATATATAAAAAAAGCTTATTTTTTTGCAAAATCTTTCACTCTCTTTTGAGAAAGATAATTACTTCAATCCGCCGGATTCTTACAAAGCCTCCTGCAGCAGGTTAGTTAAATTGATAGGTTATGTCTTCGATTTTTGTTCTTTTTTCTTTTATTGTCCTCGCTCTTATTACAAGGTACCAAAATCAGACATTTCCTTCTAGAAGCTTTTTCGAAGCTTTTACGACTGAAAAGCCAAAATTGATTTTTTTTTATTTTGAAAGTGGGTAGGAAAAAAAATCGGGTAAATTTTATCTCTTCTTTTGATCACAGTAAATTGAGTTTATAGGAAGACCACAGGAATTATACAATTTCAGCTAATTTTTTTGGGGGGGGGGATCGACCGATGTTATTTGTTATTAGGACATTGCTCTAAATAGCTTTTCAGACATCCGAAAGGGGAAAAAAAAGTATCAGGAAAGCGACGAGGCCAGGAAAACACGCGACAATAGCCAGACAATAGACATAAGTTTGCTACAACCGGTTAAAAAAACAAAGGGAACCTGCCATATTTTTTAAAAAGTAAAAAAAAAAAAAATAGACAAGAGGAGAATCGAAATAGGGAATGCAGAACCGCGAAAACATCAGAATAAGCAACGCACACAAAGATTTACGACCCATTGAGAAAACTATTTTTTATTTAGAAAAAAGATTACACTGGTAGAATTTCAGATAAAAAAATTGTTTTGTCTGTTTGTTTTTTTAAAAAGGTCATTGTGAAACTTTTTTTTTTCTGTTTTTTATTTTATTTTTTTGGACTAAAAGTCCCACCGATACAAAGTTCCTGTAGCTGTAATATTGAAACCTAATTGGTCTGAATTCATATTCGGAAGAAAGCAGTTTTCCCCATTTCTTTAAAAACATTATGACAAACGTTAAGGAGCATCATGCGGAGTAACAGAGCATGGGACATTCCTCTGTTTCCTTTCTTCTCTCTCTCTCTCTCTTTTTGAACTTCACTGTTGTGCACATAATATACAAATACTTTCCTTAGCATTGCTCGAAAAGTGCCCCTCCTCCCCCCCGGTTTTAGTTATCAATACTAAAAACAATAAATAAAAACTGGATTTTTCTTTAAATGAGGTAAAAATCCAAACGTTCAATAACTGTTTTTATTGGTTGTTGGGGTTTTTTTTTTCCTTCTTTTTTTTTTTCCAAACACCTAAAATAACGCATTTCCAATTGAAAAGAAAAATTAAAAATAATAATAATAATAAAATGGCTAAACGGAGGAAGTATTTTCGATTAACCTAAAGTAAGAACGCTGTACATGTGGGGAAAAAAAACCATCATTTGCACGATGGCAACTGTTGGCAGCACATTGTGCTAAAAATACGGAACAGGTAACACTTCCAGCCAGTACTGAAAATAAATGTTTTAAGAAACTTAAGCGACGAGTTAAAATTACAGTAATGTACAACTCAACCATCAACATCTTCAGCAACGGGAGAGATATAAAGCAGAGAGGTGAATAAGTTAAGGAGATGGAGACAGGTCCGCTTCGTTCACAATCTTCTGTGCAATCAAAAATTATGTCTGGTCACAGCTCACCATCTTCTTGTCTGAACCTCACCTGAGAGAGAGAGAAAGAGAAGCGCAATTACTACTAAGAAAGAAGCTGAAACAAGCTTAAGTAGCGAGAATAGTCCACCACGGGTCCAATTCACTCAATAAAGTAGAGTTAATATGCAACTATTGGGACGCGGTGGCTCAGTGGCTAAGACGCTGAGCTTTGTCGATCAGAGAGGTTAGCAGTTAGAATCCCTAGCGCCGCATAACGGAGTGAGCTCCCGTTACTTGTCCCAAGCTTCTGCCAACTTAGCCGTTTGAAAGCATGTAAAAATGCAAGTAGAAAAATAGGGGCCCCTTTGGTGGGAAGGGAACAGCGTTCTGTGCGCCTTTGGCGTTTAGTCATGCCAGCCACATGACCCACGGAGACGTCTTCGGACAGCGCTGGCTCTTCGGCTTTGTAACGGAGATGAGCATCGCCCCCTAGAGTCGGGAACGACTAGTACGCATGTGAGAGGGGAACCTTTACCTTTATTAATATGCACCCGAAGTGTAGGAGAAGAAGAGACAGAGCCTGGGAGTGGAGTCAAGAGAGGATTTAGCCTAGAATCATTACGTGTCCACAAATGCTCTAAGTTCAGCTCCGATTTGCATTCTGCTGAATTTAGCCCCAATTTAGTAATGACTGTTTAGTTGATTAGATTCTTGTATGTAGGCTTAACATATGGTTCTGATTCTTCACAGCTGACATGAAGTGAATTTAGGGTTCATCTAGAAGAGTTTCCAAACTGTGGCCATTTAGGACGACACGGGACAGGATAGAATTATGGGAATGGACTATCAAAAATACTGCAACCCTAAATTTACTTTTTGATTTAAATACAAGGGCGTTTATACAATCATCTCAGGGCTCATGCACGGCGCTTCATAGAGGAACTCCCAACTTTACTCACGGAGAGCATTCTTGTAGGCCTCACCTAACTTACACGAAACACTCAATTCCTTCAAAGCCATTCTCAACAGGAATGAGGTGCAAGTGCTTGCTTTCCTCTCCAATGAGAAGTCCAAAAACAATTATGCTCACCTTGGTCAGAACAGTGCTCATTATCTGTGTTTGTCTGAAGATTTATGGGTGGATCTAATGTTAAGGGAATCACGTTTTTTTAAAAGAAATGCTTAGAAAACAACCAATTCGAACGATAGCGCAGCAAAAGGATATTGTTTTTTTTCTTCTTTGTTCCCAGTACTATCCCGTTTTTCCTTCTTCTCTGTTTTTTCTTTATCGTGCCTGGACTCCTAGAGAAAAATGAGAGAAGGGGGAGAAAAAAAAAATTAAACGTGACTTAAACACATCATATCTTAGCAGGTTTTGTATGAATCAGGGAAAACTGTGAGGATTGTTGTTTTGTATAAACGAGTGAATTTGTTTTTCCGAAAAAAAACCTCTACATTTTTGCCTTCCTCTTCTCTCATTCGATAGTCCCAAAGCTATTAAGGGTGTTTCTGGTTAACTAATTCTGGTCCTGAAGACAAAAATAAGCTTCGGAAGGTACCGAAATCCAATGTTCAACCTCGTCCAGGGATCAGCAACCCACGGCTCTGGAGCTGCATGGGGCTGTTGAGCCGCATGGGTCTCTTTCATCTCTCTGCTGTGGCTCCTTGTCACTGGCCGGCTCCACAATTGGTAGGGCTTTCGGTTAGGACAGTGTTGTGGTTCGTCAGCAGCTTATGCAGGCGGCAGTGGAATTGGACAGTGGGGAAGAAAGGGGATCATTCGGGGAGTCTGCAGAGGACTCGGTTGAGGGTCCTGCATTCGATGCAGAGATGGGGCCATGGCCATCCTCGAATGGGATGCTGACTCCAGAGCTTCCAGAGTCTGGCAGCAGCGAGGCAGAGGAACAAAGGGAGCCTGTTCCCAGTGTGCGTGTGCGCAGAGCTGCTAGAAGGCGAGAGCAGCTGAAACAAAAGGGGCGACTCGGGAGTAAGGCTGGGGCCCCTCCTATTAAGGTATAAAGGACATGCCAAGGTAAAGAAACCTTTGTAGGAAGCAAAGTTCGTTCGGTTCAGATTCATTCTTGAAGCTCTTTGTACTTTCTAGTTCATTTGACGCTTCTGTTATTGGCCGCACTTCACAGGAAAGAAAGGTGGGTGCTTATCTCGAGGGACTGTTTGAGATTCATTACCAGCTGGGAATGAAAATAATTCCCAGCGTTGCGATAAAACAAGACTTGATTTTAAAATAAGCGCGTGCCTAATTACGGTCACGGAAGCCTTGGTCAGAACAACAGGCTTGTGAAAGAAGGCACGGAAGAGGCGTGGAATATTTGCCCTGCCAGGAGGAGACTTCATGGTGGGGGAACTGGATTTCTGACTGGCTGCAGAATTGAACAGGGGGGGGCTCCTGTTTAGGACCTTTGGGGCTCTTTGAGTGTTTAAGTTTGCCCACCCTTGAACTAGTCAAATGAAGGGAGATATCTGGTTACCGTTTACCAGACAAAATAATAATAATAATAAAACAAATTGCTTTACCTTTTTGCTTCCAGAAGAGCTTTTCTCTATCTTTTCTACTTTGATGGAATCACTTTTCTCCTTGCTTGAAGATTTTGACTTGTTCTTCTCTTTCTCCTTCTCATTTGAACGAGGGGGAGAGTCGGAAGGACTTTCACTCTTACTGTGTTTGGAGGAACCAGCTGGAGAGAACAAACAAAAGACTCTCAGTAAGCTATCCAAGGAGCCAACGAGGGATTATCAAGAAGGAGGAGGAGGAAGAAGAGGAAGAGGAGGAAGGAGGAGGAAGGAGGAGGAAGAGGAGGAGGAGGAGGAGGAGGAGGAGGAGGAGGAGGAGGAGGAGGAGGAGGAGAAGAAGAAGAAGAAGAAGAAGAAGAAGAAGAAGAAGAAGAAGAAGAACATACTTGTTCCGTTTTCCTCTTTCCGACGCTTGGTTGAATCTTGGGGGACTTCACGGTCATTGTTCGAATGATCCTAGATGGGTAGGACATCAAAGATTTGCTTTTAGAAACACAGGTTTGTAAATTTTAGGCATCAAACTAGCTGAGCTACTTCCCTAATTCCTTTAAATGATAAGTTTCCAGACCAGGGGTATCAAACTCAAGGCCCGCAGGTTGGATCCGGACGGCGGGGTGCTTAGATCTGGTCCACGGGTCTGCTCTGGAAACGGCGAAGAACTGGCCCGTGGTACCCCTGACAGCGAAAACGGAGCTGTGCTTTTGCTGGCAGAGGGCTCCAGGAGGCCATCGTGGCTGTAAATGGGGCCCCAGGTGGGGGATGTGTACGGGGACCCCCAGCTCCATTTTTCCTGGCAGAGGGCTGCAGGAGGCTGTTGCATGCCCCAGCCCCGCCTGGGCCACCACAGGTGCCCCTGACACAGGTGATGTCGAGCTGGCCACGTCCATCCTGCCCCTCCCCAGGTCATACACAACTGTGATGCAGCCCTCAATGATATCAGTTCCTCAAAGAAAAGATTTTTTTTATTAGAAAGGCTGGATGGGTTATCTTAGCACTCAGGTGTCAGGAGTATGCAGAAATCACCAACCCTTTTTCGGTCTTTCTTTTCCTTTTCGTCTTTCTTTTCTCTCTCTCGGGATCTTTCCCTTGATTTGTCCAAATCTTTCTTGTCTACTTCTCTCTCCTTACTTTTGGACAACGCTGGAGCGGAGTGGTTAACGTAGTGCTGTTAAATCAAAAGCAAGATCAAAAATTACTACATCGCTTCCAAGGCAGTTCCACTCCATCTTGCACCAAAATGGTGGTCTACTTCTCTTTCTCTCTCTCTCGGGTAGATTGTCTCATATCATGCTGGAAATATAGTGAATGATTACAAAATGCAATCAGAAATTCGTATATATATGAGGCTCGCTGGTCAGAAGGCCGCAAAAAAAGGAGTTCAGGTGATCTCAAGCTATGGCAACCGTCAAAAGTGTGAGTCAGTTGCCAAGAACCTAAATTTTAATGTGCATGACCATGGGGATTCTACAGATGTCGCAAAAGTGGGAAAACGGCGTTGGGACTTCCAAAGGTCACTAAACGAACTGTTGTAAGCTAAGGACGACCTGTGTAACAAAATACATTGAAAAAAAGATTTGGAGTGGATGTGGAACTGGTAGGAAGAGTCCCGCACACTCCTCACCCCACAGATAAGCTATTTTCAAAATTTTGAGACCCCCCCCCCCCCAATATTCTTCAGGTAGCTTCAGTACGTCTCTCGTTTCTCCCAGGTGTGCCCAACCCCCTGGTGTTGTGGTTAGCTGGCAGCAGGTGCAGACGGCTGAGGAGAGCGAGGACTCAGATGAAGGGCCAGGACCATTAGGGAGAGGACTGCTGATTGTGGGGGCTGGCAGCAGTGATGAGGTTTTCCCGAGGAGCCTGTGCCAAGTGTGCGTGCATGCAGGATTGTTCGTAGGGAAGAGCAGTTACAACAGCATGGGCGACTCAGGAGTAAGGCTGCAAGGTAATGGCCCCTCCTTTAAGAAGAGGCTGCTGTGAAGCGAAATGTTCTTTGCAGGAAGCAAAGACGTTTTGAAACTCCAGCCTTGTGGACATTCTAGTATCCTGAGTTTATATTTGAAGATTCTTTTTTTTGCAAATTATTTCTTGTCTGTTGGCAAGTCTCACACAGTTTGGCAAGGCTTGTGCTTATCACAGCTAATTATTTTGTAAAAGCATTACAAGGTTTCTGTTCCTTTTGAATTGTGTTTGATTTGTCGGAAAAGGGCGTGAGTCAGAACACCTGGTCAGGCAGGAAACCCTAAATCATTTCAGACAAATGGTTGTCCTATCTCTCCTTAAAAGCTTAAAATTCACAACTTCTGGAGACAAATTGTTCCACTGATTAATTGTTCTCACTCAGGAAATTTCTCCTTTGTTCTAGGTTGCTTCTCTCCTTGATGAATTTCCGAGTCATGTTTTTCAGTGCTGTTGCAATTTCAAATGGTCACTTGGTTGTAAGCTGTAATAATGTTGTGGTTCGCCGGCAGCCTGTGCAGACAGCAGTGGAATCGGACAGTGGGGAAGAACGGGGCCCAGTTCAGGAGTCTGGAGAGGACTTGAATGAGGGTCCTGCAGGGATGGGGACCAGGACCATCTGGGAGTGGGGTGCTGCCTTCAGAGTCTGGCAGCAGCAAGGCAAAGGACCCAGGGGAGCCTGTTCCCAGTGCGCTGTGTACAGAGCTGCTAGAAGGCGAGAGCCGCTGAAACAAAAGGGGCAACTCGGGAGTAAGGCTGGGAGGTGATTGCCCCTCCCATAAGGGATAAAAGTCCGGCCAAGATGACGAACCCTTTGCAGTAAGCAAAGTAGTTCGGTTGGTTCAGAGTCATTCTCGAAGTTCTTTGTAGTTTGGTTGGGTTTTTTTGTACTTCGGTTGGTTTCTTCTGTAGTTCATCTGACACTTCTGTTTTTGGCAGCACTTCACAGAACCGAAAGGTGGGTGCTTATCTCGGGGGACTGCTTTGAGATTAATTCCGGCTGGGAATGAAAACAATTCCCAGCATTGCAATAAACAAAGTCTTGTTTTTAAAATAAGTGTGTGCGTAGTTATGGTTTAGGAAGCCTGGGAACCACCAAGTCTCTGGAACAGACTGAGAAAAGCTGCCCGCGGGGTCAAAAGAGCACAAGAGACCTGCCTGCCACAACTGTACCCAACTTACAACCTGGTCAAGCTGCGCTGCGCTCCTTCACCGAAAGACCTTTGAAAGACCTTGCCGTCCCTGCAAAAGCAACTGTTAAAAATCGGAAGGTGAAGAGAGGGGGGTGGAAAGACTCAAACCTTAACTGCGGAATCCTTGAGTTCGCTGAAGTTGTCCTGTGGGAAATGAACGGAGACGACACGTAAGGTCAGAGGGTTCTCAGAAACCACTGGAGCCTGGGGAATTCGAGGCAGAACCTCAAAACAAAACAAAACAAAACCAAAAAAAAACACAAAAAACAAAAAAGAAGCTTCCCCCTCCGGGAATTAAAAACAGCATTAATACTTTCTTAAGGCAATTGTATGCACAGCGGCTAGGCTAATTACACACGGATCAAATCAGCTGCTGAGCATTATGTGCTCATGCTTTTTAAACATTGCCTCCCTCCCCCCCCAAAAAAATATCTATTCTAGCCCAATCATCATCATCTTTGTTTAACGACCCCCATAATCCCTTGAGGGTTGGAGTCTGGGGCAACTGAATGGAGCTAGCAGAGCATTTACTGGCCGAATGCCCTTCTTGTTGCCAATGCCGAGTTTTGTTCTGCAGATAATATTCTCACTGTGCCCAGAGAGAGAAATATCTGCCTTCTACCTAGGATCGAACTCACAGCCTCCTGATTGTGAGGCGAGAGCTCCAACTCTAGGCTACTGCACCCACTCCTATCTAAGTTCTACTGTAACGATTGGGAGAAATTGCAATTTGGGGCTAATTAAGGTGGTCTTATTCCCCTGCACAGTTCCTATTCTCCTAAAAGCAAACATTTAAAAAAAAGAAAAGCTGACATCAGACTAGAAATGACGGCTGGGTTTCTTGCCACAGCTGGTTGTCGTTACGACTGGCTCCCCGAATTGCAAACGCCGCCCCCACCCGGGGCTAGCTCTAGAACTATGGTGCGAGAGCCCTGTTCTAGCTATTCTCCATTGCAAGCCAACTTCTTAAGAGAGCCTTTTTTTTAAAAAAAAACAACAATAATAAAACAACATTTTTTTTTTCCTCTAAACGTTGGCAAGTCAAGAGCGACAAATACCCCACGTGGCCCAGTGCGCGGATGAAGTGATCGGTTAAACTTACAGTTGCAACGCTTCAACGTACTGCAAACTCAAAGAATCCATGAGGATGGGTGGTTTTTTGGTTTTTTTTGAGGGGGGGGAAATTTAAAAAAAAAAAAAAAAGGAAATAAACACGGAGCAAGGAATTGCTACCCTGAGTCTTCAAGAAGGCTGCAGCCCGGGAGGAGGTTTTTTTTTTTATTTTTTTAAGAGGTTTGTGCTGTGCTTGGCTCCTGGGATTGTTTCTGTTTTTTCGGCTTCTTGAGTGGAAGACTGGGCTGCCACATCTGGTATACGCTCGAGCTCAGAGCTCAACGGGGTTGTAACTCAGTGGAACAGAAAGAAACCTCGCAAGGAGGTCGGCCTGAAAATTACACAACTACAGGAGAACTGATCATCAAGGCGACTTATGATTATTATTATTCTTTTTTAAAAAAAAAAAAACCACGACTCTTCAAAGCTTTTGAAGGCTTCTCTCGGCTCGGTTGGAAGACATTCGACAAGCAGCGTGATGAAAGGTATATAGTAAGACGCCATCGCTCTCCCGGTTTTCTCTCTGCAAACTCTTCCAAGTTTACCGATCGAGTCTTCCCCATCAAGGCAGAAGAAAGATAAAAACCAACTCCACCAAAACCAAAAACTCTCACGCTTCGCTCGGCGTGCTGCGAGAGATTCATTTGCTTGTAGCTACCACTGCACTCCAAAGATCTCTCTCTATATATGTATATATACGGATGTATATATATATATATATATATTTGTATATGTATATATATATATCTGACTGTTTAAAAATGGCGAGGCACTTCT